GGAACCTGAATGCGCTACATAACAACAAAACCATTGAAAAAAGTCAATAATAATTCATTGAGATGTCAGAGAAATAAATATTCTCAACCATTCATAGAGATAAGACAAAAATAAATCTGTAGTTCATTGATAAAAATAAGAATACTCAAAATAAAATATATCTTAAGTTCAATTTATAAATATTGATTAAAGGATACAAAAACATTTGCTATTGTATAACCAAAAATCTCATATCAATAACAACTTCTTTCATCAAAAATAATTGGACATTCATCTATGAATCAAACAGTAGTTGAAAAATTTCTTTAGATGAAAAGAAAAAATTGATTTTGATAAGTTCATAAACTATCTCTTAACTTTAAGTAGTGTTCAGTTGACAGAGAAGTATCATGCTAAACAATCTTAGAATATTATACGTGATCTCTTGAAGAACTTTTGGACATATCACAAAGACAAAAGTATAACTATCATTAAGTGTGCACCAGTGTCAGTCTGACTGTTATCCATTTCGACTTGTATTGAGTGGAAGTGGATATTAGTTTGATTAGAACTCATTCGACTAGTTACCAGTCAGAACTGGATATCCAGCCCAGCTGAGACTGATGCCACATCTTTCTATCATAGAAAGAACTTTAGACATTGACAGTTACAACAAAATTGAGGGTCTGAATAAAATCGTATTGACAATCAATGAAGCGAAACATTAGAAAAATTTTTATCGATACAAATCAAAAAAATCGTTAAAATGAAGTCTTGATTTCAAATTACGATAAAGAATGTGTGTACCTTTTATCAAAGATGTTCTAGTCTTGAAAAATATGTTGTGGCTATGAGTGACAGTGTGAATGTGGTGTAAGAGAAGAACTACACCAACATCCATCCATACAAACACTTATATCCATAGGCGGCGGAGCCTGTAGGCCCAGTGAGGCTCAAGCCTCACTGGATTTTGGCTTCTGTAGGCTCAGCTTCACTGGAATTTTGAATTTTTAGTGTAATCAGGGGGGGGGGGGGCGGCGCTTTGGGAATGATGTCGAAAGCTACTCCCGCGCCCGTTGAGGAGAATATGGGAGATGTCAAAAGCTACCGCCCCTCTCTAAAACAATCGATAACGTTGGAACTGAGCCTCACTGAGTTTTGAGAGCTTCCGCCACCCCTGAAGAAGACACTCATAGAAATAAGTTTTAATGTAAATTTATTCTATCTTTCACTGGGCTCTATCAAGATTTACTTTTCAACCTTAATCACAAATCTGAAATAAAGATTTCTCTGTTTTCAAGGATTTTCTTGAATCTCTTCGAATACTCTAACATATTCCTATTAATATTTTGTTTTTCTTTATTCTTCGTTCATAAGGATATAGATATTTTTGAGAATTTCTACCTGTTTTTGTATATATATTTACAACTTTGTGTAGAATATAAAAGTTCAACTATGTAAATTCAGTTTGATGAAATGATCAGAAATATTATTCTAGATAATTAAATAGTTTAACTTGTTTATTAATTTGTATAATGTAATTCTAGTCAAAGATGAAAGATACATTTGTAATGTTACTATCTAAAGATTGTTATAAATTCACATGAATTTAGAGATTGAGAAGGAATACTTTGTATATTAGATATAATTTCATAAGAGATTTCGTTTTTTACTTTTTATAGGTAAATATCTTAGAAGAAAGTATAAATAATCAAAATTTTAGTTAGATGTAAATCATAATTTATTCAATTTCATATTCTAAATTTTCGATAATATATATTCTATTCAATTTATAGACAATTATTTTTTATTTTTATAATCATATAATTTATTATTCTTTTTTATTTATTGATATCGTGTTGTTTTAAATATTTGTTTTTATTTCTTCTAAAGATACAATTTTATCTCTATTATCTATATAAAAAGCATTCAAACTCATATAGGATTGTTAATTGTAATATCTCGTATGTTTTTTTTTTGTTATTATGTATATATAAATAAGACAAATAGAGTATAACTTCAGTAAACAAAAAATAAACAATATATAAGAATAATTAGAAAATATTCAATACTAAACGATGAATATTTGATAATCATAGACAAATACTCGGATTCTAACATAAGTATTTTGTTGATGAGTATCTTCACTAGATGAATATATTAGAATAAACAGGGAACATTGAAAATTTTGATTAAGAAATATTTGAAGGATGTAAATGTTGATTAATACTACAGACACACAGACACCCCAGAAAAGAACAATATTTTCTAGTCCAATTTTCATATGGCTATAGTTTTTATTTGATTCCATTTCTAAAAATAAGAAATGGTAGAAGCTCTGTTTTCTGAGGCAATGTAGAAAAAAATTATTTTGTACGATTAAGAATAAATTTCTATATTGTTTTTCTATTTTGATAAGTCTAAAATTTCTTTTTTCAAATAAATGAAGATAGGTTAACAATAATCACTGTTAAATGTGTTTATTCTTTAGACAAAGGTATACTAATTGATTTTTCATTATTTAAAATCTGATAACTACTCTTTCTAATACAATTTCATTGATTATTTATCACAAAGAGCACAAAAATAAAAAATACTAAAAGTAGATAACATATTATAATAAAAAAGAAAATGCTTCTATTTAAATTTTAAGTTATTTTTAATAAAAACTAAATCAAAATTTCAATCTTTGCTAAGCAAATTAGTAAAAAATAATTCTAAGGGAAAATAAAACATTTTTGTTAAGGGTAAGTGTAAATATTAGTATAGATACCATTGCAGATGTGATACTCATATCCTCAGCTTCAAATTCCTCGACTTTTGGGTTTTGTAAATGAATAAGATTAGATGTATTCAAATCAGATTGAAGTTCATATCTCTAAACTAATAAATATAAAGCATGAACTATTATTGGCATATCCAAATAAAGATATATGAATTTTAAGGTATGTATACAATTATGCAAAGTGCTGATTATTCGAAATATCAGTACAGTTTTTAATTATTTTTTCCCCGATGACAATTTCGTAAATTTTGTTTTCTAATTAGGTTTGAGAAGCTCTATTCAATTATTTGGAAAAGTGATTATACATCATCGTGAAATTTTGAATTGAGGAGACACTAAATCGACTAAAAAATCTGGATGCACAAACAGTAGTTCATATCTTGCATTCGTTAGTTTATCAATAAGAAAAGAGAAAGGAAGAGTGTTGTATGTACTTAACATTACTATTTCTTTTATATTTAATTATTAAACTATACAAATATATTACAAAAAACTTTCCTTCAAATTAGATAACAGTGGAATTTTTCAAAAAAAAATTGATCTCTGATGAATTTGATAGAAACTAATTTCACAATTTACTGATGAAAACATAGGAAATATACAAAATAAATCATTCGGCTTTACTAAAAGCACATAAGTTAGTGCTAGAAAAAAAAATTCTTCCTGGTACCAGGAAATTTGGCAGTTCTAATTTTTACACATACTTCAAAATGGGTGGATTTATCTATGTGAGTTTTGAACATTTGTTACAAATCAATTAAAACTATAGAGAATATTTTTATTTTAAATTAATTCGATAGAAAATTTTGTACATTACAAAGCCAATAGTATTACTTTTCAAATTCTTTTTTCTTGTCAGTGTAAAATTTATAGGTCTCACAGTCGTACTACTTTCATGATCTATCCCGATAGGGGGTTATGTCTACATGGTCATAATACGTTGTATTTCGTGAAATATAATCTGAAAGAAGACTTGAAGTGTTTAAACGTAGAAGTTTGCATCCATCTTTCCTCAATAAATCATAATAGAAATTCACATAATCCATCATGGAATGTGACAGATAGGATTCTAGACTCATCATAGTCTATGATAGAAGACTTCAAAAAACTATCCGATATAATGTATGTCTAATATATGATTAGATCATATAGAAGTACTATCCTCTTTCAACTGTATAATGTAAAGTAATCCAGATTACAGAATTGTACCCTACCATGCATACAGAAGAACAGTTACATTCTGTTTCACATTTTTGCTCCCTCAAGGAATTGTACTAACAGCTTTTTTCTTTTTATTGTTTTCTCGATAACGATATTAAAATATCTAAAATTGTTTATCAGGTTTATTGTCACGTTCTGATACAGTTTTGTCTCTTTACATTCCAAACAGTTCGTCTCTTCATCTATTGATGCTCTTTTATCCCTTTGAATAATAAAAAAAGAAAGGAATTTCTATTTCACTTTCATTTATAGATGATGATGCTATACATAAAATATTAATATTTGACCAAGATGATGATTATTCATTTATTGTCATAGATGAAACAGAATCAAACACATCTTTCACACATTGAATATATCCATTGAAATGAACTGTTAGTTTTTATCTATCTTGAGTCACACAGAACATACTCAACAATATTCTCTAATTTTTGCAACCATTTTGTGCAAAACATTAATTTTTGGCGTTTGAAAATATCTAATTGAAAGAGTATATTTTTCAAAACTATAACATGATTGTTTTATATGTAGATAGAAAATAATAAATTAGAATAAAAGAATGAGTTTCTACATAACTGATTCTTTTTTCAACAAGTTGTAATATATAGAATTGAGAACAAACAGCAATGATATCATTGAGCTGGAAAAAGATCTTTAAAAAACATTTCGGCGGAGTGTTTTGAAAATTACAGCAAAATATCAATCGTAGTTAGATGATTGAGCAAGATAGTTGTCTAACGACGAAAACATATTTCAAAAATAAAAGCATTCATTTTATCAAGTAGAAAATTTTCTATCGAATGCGACTAGAATAAAACCTTTTATATGTAAAAGGGAGAGAATATTTTGTCACATTCTTTAATAGTGAAAGATTCACGAACATCGATTAAGTTTTTATATTTTAATTTTCTGTGGACTTTTGAAACATTTTTTAATAATGATTGAGAAAAAAAAATATTTCTTTCTTTGTGAAATAATAAAAGAGCGGTTAATTAATAAAAATAATTTATATTCGATGTTAATATTATTAATATATTTTTTAAATGTATTTATTTTAAATATTAATTGTTTATTTCATAAAATCGATGAAAATCTTTTATTAGATAAAATAGCAAATAAAATAATAAATTATGTTAATGAAAATAAAATTCCATTAATATTAACAAATAAATTAATTGGAGATGATGCAGGTTCAATGAGTTCAACATATAATGGTTATTTAAATTTAACAAATAATAATATTATATCAGTTATAGTTAAATATTCATCATTTAAATCCATATGGAATTATGTACATAAAAATGAAATAGATCGTTTATATAAATATGGATGTTATACTTATTTAAATGAATATACAAATGAATATATTATTTCAAATGAAGATAAATATAGAATATTAAGTGAAAATTTAATTCCATGTGAATTATATGTTGTATATAAATCATATCTATGTCCTTATTTAATGGCAACATCAACCATTGTTAATCCAACATATTCATATTTTTCATTTTTTAAATCAATTGAAGATAATGATGATAATAAATATTTTTTTATTATATTTAAAAAATTAGAAAATTCAATATCATTAAAAAGTTATCTACAATTATATTTAAATAAATTAACAATGGATATAGTTAAATATTTAATTAAATCAATATTAATTAGTATAATTAAATTAAAAAATATGTTTATTATACATCTTGATTTAAATTCATCAAATATATTTATAATGAATAATGATAATATACATAATATAAGATTGATTGATTTTTCAATAATTAAATTTATTTATAAAAGTTCATCATTCAATGTAATGTATTCAGAAAATTTACATGAATCATTTCAATCAATTTTTTTTAATTGTCCATCTTGTTTTTATTCAACTTATTCAATTCAAACAATTATTTTTGCTCAACCATTTCATCAATCATTTAAAAATTATACCATCGAACAAATTTTAAATCAACCTTTTTTAAATTAAAATTTCTAGAATGATAGTTAAGTCCTCCATTGAATATGTTCTTTTACGAGTAAATTATTTTAAAATAACTAGAAAATTTTTCCGGAATATATTCTTGTATAGTCTGTTTAAATATTCTATGTATGTAAATAAATCAAGAAGAAATATCGTTGGAGAACTGTGACTTTCACAAATTGAAGAATGTGATATATACCATCTACAAGATAAATTCATATTAAAATATGTATGATAACTGTCTATTATGCTAATTATAAAATACAATCTGTAGATAGACAGACTTTAGATAATAAAAATGCGGAAACTTCGGATTTTATCCGAAAGTTAAGTG